TGGTTGACCACAGGGTCCTGACTGTTGTCTTCCGACGCCCGCCCGGCGGATGGTGGAGTGCTGGCCGGGCGGGGGGCATCATCCTGGCGACGGGGGTAGGGGATCACCCTAGCACCTTAGAGCTTGAACTTTAAGGTGGGGGGATACTCCCGCTGGTGGGCACTTTAATTAAATACAGCTCCAGCTCCTACAATGTTTATAAAAATAAAGTTATATGTGCCTCCTACAAGATATACAACACTGTTGACTACTAACAGGTATAGCCTACTGACTACTGGCAGGTCAAGATATATATAATGACATTGCTGACATTATATATATATATATATATATATATATATATATATATATATATATATATATATATATATATATATATATATATATATATATATATATTCACTTGGACCATTAGAGCTTCCAACCCAGTACCGAAAAAAACAGAAAGACTGTAGTTCAACCAATCAGGCTATTGAATACCTACAATAAGAGAAGGATCTCAAGAGACACGCAACTGCTATCCAACTGAGACTTTAGACCTCCCCATACGTCAGGCTGCGAGCAGCCGCGTCCAACAGCCTGGTTGATCAGTCCAGCAACCAGGAGACCTGGTCGACGACCGGGCCGCGGGGACGCTAAGCCCCGGAAGCACCTCAAGGTAACCTCCCCTGGAGTACCAATTAAGTATGGAGGTATTAGGCTTAAAGTCTGTGTTGGATACCAGTTGCGTGTCTCTGAGAGCCTCTCATATTGTTGTTGTTATTGCTGCCTCTCGTATTGGCTACAATGGCCCAAGTAAATTAATTGTAGATTATATATATATATATATATATATATATATATATATATATATATATATATATATATATATATATATATAAAATCTGTCATAAATGTCATATATCTTGACTTCCCAGTAGTCAGTATTGTCATATGTTGCAGGTGAAGGCCATTGAAACCCACGAAGGGACAGGGAAGAGAACTATCGGGAGAAAGCGCCAAGCCATTACGACTATACAGCACTAGGAAGGGGTCAGGATAAGGTTTTTGGGATTGTGGCAGGGGGAAAGGATTGGTGCCCAACCACTTGGACGGTCGGGGATTGAACGCCGACCTGCATGAAGTGAGACCGTCGCTCTATCGTCTACCCCAAGTGGTTGGGCCACGACGGGACAGGACAGTGCAGGTATCGTGGAATTCAATTAAGCAAATCCCTGTCCTTTAACACAGTGGAAGTCAAACATTCCACAACTGAAGAAGACCTACTAGGAGCTAAATCGAGCCCCTCACCAACCCATCCTCAGACCAAGTCCATTCCATCCAGCGGTCGACCCCAAAGACACATTCATCAACTTTAACATCTTCATTCAAAATAGGAATTTCCAAAATATAAATTAATAGTTATATATTAGCATACTGTGTATATTTAGGCATTGGTTAGGTTAGGTATTTAGGTGCTGTTGGCGATTATTTGTATTTGTAGTATGTGGGTGAAGTATTTACAACATTGTGGTTCGAACACAATTTTTCAGCGAAGCACTTGTTCCAGAAGTGTTCGATCATCATCAGTTGTGATTCGTGTGGAAACCATTTTTCATTCATAAACAGGGGGTTTAGCGGCTGCATGGAATCGGTTTTGGCCTTTGTTTATGTATCAGCCCGTCCTCGCATACAAAGATCTAAGCTCGTTAATCCAGCCGCCAAACCCCCCCTGTTTATATGTGAAAAACGGTTTACACACGACTCACAACTGATAACGTCCGAACACTTCCGGAACAAGTCCTTTGCTCACGTCCTCTGTTCGAACCACAATTCTATAAATGCTTCACCCACATACTTCAAATACAAATAATCGCCAACAGAACCTAAACACCTAACCTAACCTACGTCTAACTATACATAGAATTTGTATGTATAATAATATTAATATATATATATGAGAACAAACCAATTTTTAATACACACAATGTTAAAATTGATAACTACGTCAATGGGGAGGACGGCCGCTGCTTTATACAGCCTAGTGTGAGAACGGGTTGTACGTGGACGGGCTGCCCTGCCTGCTGTGTAACTCAAGTGAACAGGCTTGCACTCTCGTTCCGTGGAACTCTGTAAAACTTTCTGTTTCACTGCTGAATTGCTTAATTTACCGCCAGAGAGAGGAAAAAGAACGAGGGATTCTTTGACTAAAATGTGACATGTGAAACCATGCGCTTGACGCCTCACTCTTGTAGCCTCATGAAGCTTACTCATGAATCTTTAACCCACGAGATCTTGTCCTTGAAGCTTCGACCTTAACCATGAGCTTCACTCTTGAAGATATCCAATTTAGCTTGGAGCATTATTCACGAGGCTAAATTAAACCATTGAAGCTTTACCTACGAGGCTGTACCATGAAGACTTCCTTACCCATGACGCTTGGTCTATAAAGTCTGACCAATGGCTTAACCCATTATTCATGGTTCATAATATATGACGCCTGAAATATAAAGTTTTGAATCACGGCTCACCACTACTCTCCCAGGGATTCACAAAGCACTTACAAGTTCTCTACTTCTTACTAGCTCTGTACTGCTACTTCGAGCTCTGCACCTCTACTTACGAGATCTATACCTCTACTTACGAACTCTGTATCACAACTTACGAGCTTTGAACTTCTACTTACGACCTCTTTACCTCAACAAAACGATCATGTTGGCTTAGTCTGTATTTACTAAACAGTTGATGTGTTCCGGTGGGTTACGAGGTCGCTCTCAATCCACAGGGTGTTACTGTCTTGGATGACATCGTAACTTTAATCAGCCTAACCCGCTATGATCTATGGAAAGAGGTATGGAGCTCGTAAGTGGGCACGTAAGGGCTCAATGAATCCTGGCTAGCTTGGCTGACACCAACTACGACTCACCGCTAGCCAAGAAAGAGTGCAAACACCCTTCCGGCGGTGTTATCTTACCACCACTCAACGCACCCGCATCTTTTATTCCTGAGTGGAGCGTGCGGATATCGGGTTACAACGCCAGGAGATATTCGTTTTAAGCCACGAGGATATACAGAGTTGTTGACCAAATGGAATATATTCACTATATATATATATATATATATATATATATATATATATATATATATATATATATATATATATATATATCATTCAAAGCTGGTTGGTTACCTGTGATACTCTCTTGTTGGACTCATCCACAAGTTATGCAGACTCAAAGAGCCACTGCATAGACCTCTTGATACTCTAATGTAATTGTCTTTCAGCCTCTCTGTCATCATACTTAACTCTGGTTGTTAAAATTATTCGCAGCATGACAACCTGAAGATATTTTATGGATCATACTTCTCTCTCTCTCTCTCTCTCTCTCTCTCTCTCTCTCTCTCTCTCTCTCTCTCTCTCTCTCTCTCTCACTCTCTCTCTCTCTCTCTCTCTCTCTCTCTCTCTCTCTCTCTCTCTGTGAAACGTTCAATATCAGTCGGGAAATTCACTTTGTTGTTAACTTGGGCAGAACGTGAGGAAGAAAAATAAGTCACAGTCGTACATTTAGGTCTACTGTGACGTGCCTTTCCGTTTACTGTGTAGAAGAAAAGTGTGAGCGCCGTGAGTGGGGGACTGAACCAAGTTTGGCTTCCACTCTTGTGTCGTACTCCGCAGAGTAAACACAACCATCTTATTTTTAGAATTTTCATTGTGTTTTTTTTTTTTGTGTGTGTACGTGTGTGTGTGAGTGTATGTGTGTGTGTGTGTGTGTGTGTGTGTGTGTGTGTGTGTGTGTGTGTGTGTGTGTGTGTGTGTGTGTGTGTCTGAGTGTGTTGTGCTTGCGGGGGTTGAGCTCTGGCTCTTTGGTCCCGCCTCTTGACTGTCAATCAACTGATGTACAGATTCCTGAGCTAACTGGGCTCTATCATATCTACATTTGAAACTGTAGGTTGTGTGTGTGTGTGTGTGTGTGTGTGTGTGTGTGTGTGTGTGTGTGTGTGTGTGTGTGATAGTATGTCCTCCAGCGTTATGTTTATAGGTAACTTCACTATGCAGTCATAAGACAATAGCGGAACACTCCCAGCAACACACACACTAACAATAACACCCCCCAGCAACACACACTAACAAGAACACCCCCCAGCAACACACACACACTAACAAGACAAACCCGATTGTAAGTTCCTCGATTTTTTGTAATTGTTAATCTGTCGGTATAAAGCTCTGGCGGACTTCTCTTAGAACAGTCACAATTAACCAGCTACACCAAGCCTTTAATGCCCACCCCAGCAAGTTGATCCCGATTTAACACGTTCGCTAACCAATCCTCCTACTTTTATTAACAGCTAAAATGTTTAATTCTTCTTAACGATGGCGATAAAAGTAGCGGAGAAAGAGAACACTAGGCATCTGGAAACCAGCATTATACCCACTGAAATAACAGAATAATTCTACCTGACACACGGAGAACAATGATGATGGTGGTGCAGGTTATAAGGTCCAGGTTAATTACAGAACCGAGCATAAAAACACGACAGGTAAACTCCATCAGTCACACACGTGGTAGACCTGATTGTGTGTGTGTGTGTGTGTGTGTGTGTGTGTGTGTGTGTGTGTGTGTGTGTGTGTGTGTGTTTATGTATTTCCAATTTGTGCCTGCAGAATCGAGCTATTAGCTCTTGGATCCTACCTTTCTAACCAATCTATTTTTCCTGTATTATATCGATCTGCTACATATATTTCTCTCTAACACACACACTCACATCCCCTGGAAGTAGCCCGTAGTAGCTGTCTAACTCCCAGGTATCTATTTACTGACTGGTGAACAGAGTTATCAGGTGAAATAAACTGCACCAATTGTTCCTGTACCGACCGGAAATCGAACCCGGATCCAATCGGGTTCCGGATCACGAACGCTGTCCGCTCGTACGTGTGTTTGTATGTCAATCACAAATCTCCGGAATGCAATAAATTCTGCCTTTTCTACAGTACTAACTCATTCTTTTGTGTGTGTCCCCAGAGTGCCCCACGCCCGAGGAGTTCAGCAGGATGGACGCCAACACCAAGTTCCCCATCGAGTGTATGGTTATCTAGCTGCCACGCGTGACCTTGTCAGCGGCTCTGGGTGCCGCCCTCCCTCCGTCACTTCCACCCTAGCTCTCCCCACCAACAATCAGTAATCGCCGCCACGCCTCCATAGATGGTCCTTCACCCTCAGACTTGTACCTCATCGCGTCTGCAGCCACGGGCTGCTCCCTCTCTCTCTCTCTCTCTTTCTCTCTCATGTATCACTCATTGACGTTTTTTTCTCGTCGTTTCTCATTCAGTCATCGTCATCACCACACTTCCCTCACGTGCAGTCTTCCTGTCCTCAGCCTACTGGCCCTGGGCGCGGTAAATTATTCAGAGGTAGGCTATATTTTCTTAGTTCGCCTTCTTTATTCACAGTTTTCTATCGCTATTGCTAATTGATCCTTACACCTCTATTGACTTGTATTGGCTGTTCCTCTTTCATTCATAGGCTTCTAGTGGCTGTTCCTCTTGCATCCATAGGCTTCTATTGTCTGTTCCTCTTTCATCCATAGGCTTCTTCTATTGGCTGTTCCTCTTTCATCCATAGACTTCTATCGGTTGTTTCTTCTTCATTTTCGCACTTCTCTAATAGCCACAAATCTCTGATTTCGAGGACCGTGTCATAATCACCAAACTTACCTGACATTACTGCCATCTTCAAGCGTTTTTGGCCGTGGAGAAAAACAGCAAGATGAAACTAGACTTTAATTGTAGGTGACGTTTTTCGAGTAAGTTGTCCTCTTTATTGCATTTGATGAAGACATTATTCAGGTGAAACGTCGTTAACTAAAGTCGCAGTCTACATTAATCTTGGTGTTTCTGTACGTCATTGAATAACACCTTGTTATATGAGAAAATATTGAAGCGGTACAATGGGATCAAACTCACGTGCCTAGACTCCCCAAATATATTTAAAATCCACTGAAGGATAATGAGTTTTGAATGATACTCGGAGTATGCTTCTAGTGTATCGCCCTTATGATATCCTGACCTTGTGGCTGTTATCAGGCTTTCTTCACATCCGTCTACATCATCATCCTTCTCAAGTATACCTCATCTCACCTTGTTTCTTCCTCCCCTACCATTACTATGCCTGTTAACATTCTTAAATATTCAAATGTCACTGCTCATGTCTTCAGATATACCTGCATCACGTGTCCTTGACTTTGTCCTGAGAATTTCCTCTGGATGTCTCCTGGCCCTTCACAGCCCTTTAGCCCTGCCACCGTCATCATTCTGCCCTGGCAAGAGAGTGGCTCCCTATCATCATTCTACAGTGGAAACCATATGATCCTCCCGTCACCCTACAGTGGCAACATGGTGGCACCTCTTCCATCACCCTACAGTAAAAATATGGTGGCAACCCTACCATCTTTACATAGTAACATGTGACGTTACTATGCGAACACATTTCCAGGCATATAAACACATACGAACATCGTGTGATTGCCACATTATCACCAACACTCATTGGTGGTCGATCATGTTATATTTTGATTCGGGAATTCAAGCAGATTCTGAATATCTATTTTGTATACTTTAATTTAGACGTGTAAGTAGCTTGTATTGCTTTCCTACTTGTGCATAGCGTGTGGGAACCGACCTGTGAGATTTATATTTATTTGATTTATATGAATTTATATTTACGTTAATTTATATACTTCGATAGCAATTTGTATAATGATAAGTGGACTGTATTTCTGCAATAATCTCTTAATCTCACAAATCGATCCTCTACACATTAGGGGGGGTTTATATTACACATATGCAGCCAATCAAATTACAGTAATAGCTACATACATTGATGAGGTTCCTTCTCTTATAGTACAGCAGGTTAGTCCACCAGGTATAACTAGAGTGTAGACACCAAATTATCCTCTTTGAGGTAGCTTCCATATCACCCAGTAACTGGTGCACAAACTCTTCCTCGTCTTGACCTGTCAAAAGGGCGCTAACTGTGAAGCCAGAATCCTATATATGACAAGTTATATCAGAGAAAACAGTACATGGAACATGAGGACCTGGCTTAATTACCTTTAGTTTGAGGCTTCCATGTGATCTAACCGGATAACCCTACCCAATGACATTAATGGCCACTAATGATAGATAATGGGTTTCGGATAGACACTTAACTTGAATTTGTAGACAGCGTGTTGATAATGGTACACTTTTAGTTTCCATAACACTACGTCCAAGTAAATTTAACAGGAGCCGAATTTGCTCCCGTGTGAGCCTCTGGTCTAGTATAAACAATGATGGCTGCCCCTTCCTCCTCACTCTGACGCCTGGCTTACATTGTCCACATTTCAGAAAGTGATAGAAGGGTCACATTTACTCTACTTTAATATTGATAATTAAGTTAATTTATATAAGATGTTTTTATGATGGTAAAGTCCAAAGACTAATGTATTTAAGAATAATTCCCAGCAGAATAGCTGGTGAATTATAATAGTATGTGGTGATGATATCCCGTTTTCTATAGACGGTAATTCCACTACAAGTTACGTTTTCTATGGGTAACTTGTTGGTAATACAGTTATTATCTGTATGATTATTAAATGGTGTCGGATTTTCCGACATAATTCCCCAGGGGGCTGCTCACGGGTCGAAGTCCTATTTAGAACAGACGAACACCGATACTCCTCCTTCGAATTATTACATTAATTTGATGTTAGTAGTTAGTAATCACACATTTGTGCGTCTGTTCGTACAGGACGGATGTCCCGTACTAGAGTTGCAAGGGTTAGAAGTCTAATGCGATTTCATTTCCCTGTCAACTCTTGAAAGGCTAATATTCAAGCCTTATTACATATTATTTAACCCAGAAGACTGGATGTGATCAAGTACTACAGTCAAGTATGATTCAGGGACTGCAGTGAGATCAGTGACATTAGATATAACTTGAAGTTTGTTCAGGTAACTGGTCACTGATATATAAACACTGAGGCCCATGGAATACATCTTGATTAAATAATAAATGTATCAAATCAGTCATCAGATTTACTGGGGTTTAATTTAGTTAATTGATTCAGAAGATTGAATAGCTCATCATTAAAGTAAAGTATGGTTCTGAGACTGCAGTGGGTTCAGTGACATTGGTCGCAGTGACTTGTAGCTGTTTTAGGCTACTGTTCACTGATTTGCCACTGAGGCCTCATGAACTCATCTTCAGCTTCAAATGATGATACTAACATCAACCTCTGTTGGTATAGTCAACTGTAATCTCCTTAGTATAATGCTACTGGAGAAATATAATCAGCTGACAAATTTAGATTTCTACTGGTATTGTTTATCTGCAGGCATAGGTCTCCTCAGGCTTGATACTGGGCCTGAGAGTAATTTACCTCCTGCAGAGTTTAACATGGTTATACCCTGATATTTAGTAGGGCTACCGATGAATCGATGGCAATAGTCTGTCCCAACAAGGAGACCGAAGTCAGTGAGGTGATCAGACTTAATATTATCTGCCAATTTTATTCCTCCATTTCTCAGGAATTTGGCTGTTGCTCTCAGACCTTGAACTTGTAGGTCTACTGGTATTTTGTCCACCACAATGGCTTGTACTCGACAGATGTACCTGCCTAAACGTACTGATGGTTGTACCACCTGGTAGACTTGAGGTCCTGCATCTGTTACAAACCCTGAGATGTTGAATGACATCTGGGCTACAGGCCTTAATTGTAATTCATCTGCCAGCTTTTTAGTGATATATGTTCTCTGGGATCCTTGGTCAAACAACCCTCGGGTATGGACCTTGGTCCTCTTATTCAGGATGGTAATTTGGGCAGTAGGCAAAGTCGTATTACCTTTAGACTTTGCTGATTGGACACTCTTTGTTTGTTGCACCTTGCAGTACTGTACTGTGGTGGGAATGCTATCTTCCACCTTGGGGTTTGGAGACGTTGTTTTGGTGTCTCTGCACAATGCTGCATGGTGCTGACCTTTGTTACACCTATTACAAGGGTGTAATTGGGTATCACAATCCTTGATGTTATGTTTCCTGAGGCACCTCGTGCAATGTTGCAAATCTTTGAGTCGCTCAACACGGGCGTCACTATCAGGAAAATTAGAGCAGTGGTACACTGAATGTTTCTCATTGCAGAACAAACATGTTCCATAGTTTCCAGTACCCTTTGGTGTCACGTTCTTGGGTGACACAGTAACTATAGGCTTGGAGGGTCCCACTGCATATACGCCCACACTGCCACTGTTCCACTTTGGTGTTGAATTATATTGTCTAGATTGATTTGGAGTACCTTTGGTACTCTGTGGTTTACTATTATTGGTTTCTGAGGGTTTACTTGGTGGTTTTAATTTGTCATGTGTTCGTAATTGATGAACTACTGACTTTAAACCTTCAGATATTTCATTCATGGATAAGATACTTTTATTGTAATGAGCACTTATTTGTCTCAATATGTCCCTAGGTATTTTCTCCTGGACAATTATTTTCAAGACCCACTCAGCCCCGTTTGTATCTGCTGTCAGGCTGAGGGCATTGATCAATGATTCTACCTCCAGCTTGAAGACTTGGAGTGAATCAGCTGAAGCCTCCGGTGGGGGTAAATGCAACAGCTCATGAACTAAATGTGATGTTCTTACTTCTGGATCAGCATAATTATCCTTGAGGAGTTTTACTGCCAGATCATAGCCGTCATTAGTTAATCTCAGATGGGATACTACTGTTTTAGCCTCACCTGATAATTGACCTTGCAAATAAGAGAATTTACTACTCTTTGGTAAAGATTGTTTTGAGTCTACAAGGTCAACGAATTTGTTCCAAAATTCGTCCCAATCTTCCTCATCTTTTCCTGAGAAAGTGGGTAAATTAATTGGAGGGAGTCGAGCTTCTGCTTGACTCGTATTAGATGCAACTGTTGTTGTTGTTGCTGTTGCCTTGTTCTGGGCAATTAATTTGACATAAGGCTGTAACGTGGCCTGAGTGTGATCTTCATAATTCGCAAGATCAACCATAATGTCGTCTATTTCTGTTTCTGATAAATTAGTGTTGGCAAGTTCAGCCACATATGTTGCTATTTGACATTTAATTTGCTCAAATTTACCTGCAGCTGCTTGATAATAGCTTTCCAGGTCAGCATAATCAACTTGAGAT